GGGCGACTGATACACTTGGTGACTTCTCGACTGCGTCGCACTTTGTAGTCCACGAGGCGCGTCCCCTCCCTATTTCAAAACCGCCATACCACTCCTCCTTAACATTTTCCTACAGGACGATTCTGCCCAGACTTTGATCCGTATAGACCCACGCCTGCCGCTGCTTGTTGTTGTTGGTGATAATGATGATGAGAACCTACTGCACCCGTGCGGCAACAGAAACTCCACATGTTTTGGTGACGATATGGAAATTCTTGCTGGTCCCTTTACACTTCTAACCCTTCAACTCAGTCCTGTACTACTCATCGTAAGAATATTTGCTGTTTTTCAACTACATGCTTCGGTGAAAATCCACGCACTTCTACCCAAAATTTTTCGTGAATTTTCATAATGTAGCGAGGAAAATCACAAACTCAGTTGAGAAAATCAAATATATATACTACTACTCAATGAGTAGTAGTATATATATTTGATTTTCTATTATAAAAATATATGATATATATTATAATATTAATATATTTTTAATATATATTATATATATGATTTTCTATATATTTGATAATATTATGAGTAGTACTCATACCATGAACTTACCCTTAGTGGCATACATCATATCATGAGTTCTACCAGTTTCCGTCCCCCCCGGACTTCCGTGTACCAGAGTATGGCTAAAATACACAGTGTGGAGGAAAAATATGCAAATCATTAACTACACAGGGAAAATTTTGGGTGGAAATTTTCTCATTGATTCCTGTATAGTTGCACAGAAATTCGTATATATTTTCCTAAGCTCAGCCGAGAAAACCAAACATATATTCCGACACAGTTCTTCACTTTAACACTTCACACAAGTTTACTATAGGGCCAGTGTTGGAGTAGGAATATATGTTCCCTTTCCTCAGCTGAGCTCAGGAGTTTCCTATACAGTGTTGGAGTAGGAATATATGTTCGCTTTCCTCAGCTGAGCTCAGGAGTTTCCTATACAGTGTTGGAGTAGGAATATATGTTCGCTTTCCTCAGCTGAGCTCAGGAGTTTCCTATACAGTGTTGGAGTAGGAATATATGTTCGCTTTCCTCAGCTGAGCTCAGAAGAGTTTCCTATACAGTGTTGGAGTAGGAATATATGTAATCGCTTTCCTCAGCTGAGCTCAGGAGTTTCCTATACAGTGTTGGAGTAGGAATATATGTTCGCTTTCCTCAGCTGAGCTCAGGAGTTTCCTATACAGTGTTGGAGTAGGAATATATGTTCGCTTTCCTCAGCTGAGCTCAGGAGTTTCCTATACAGTGTTGGAGTAGGAATATATGTTCGCTTTCCTCAGCTGAGCTCAGGAGTTTCCTATACAGTGTTGGAGTAGGAATATATGTTCGCTTTCCTCAGCTGAGCTCAGGAGTTTCCTATACAGTGTTGGAGTAGGAATATATGTTCGCTTTCCTCAGCTGAGCTCAGGAGTTTCCTATACAGTGTAGGAGTAGGAATATATGTTCGCTTTCCTCAGCTGAGCTCAGGAGTTTCCTATACAGTGTTGAAGTAGGACTATATTTTCGCACTCTTCAGCTGAGCTCAGTATTTTTCTCACTAACTACGTAAGTGTACCCTCGAAATCAACGAAAATTCTCCAAAATTTTAATATTATCACCGAATTTTCCCCTCACACTGCAAGTCTCTACCAAACCCACCTAGAAGCCCTCTGGCCTTGTCCATGAGTTGCCGACAGTACACGTTGGGCAACAACAGCAGGTGCTGCTGTCGAGGACCCCAGATGCTGCTGATGTTGTTGTTGTTGCATCTGGTGTTGCAATCGTGAATAGTGTGCAGGTGGGGAAACTCCCAAGGGTAGAGGATGACCAGAGTTCATCAAATATCTAAAATACTACTATTCCAAACAGTTATGCATATGTAGATTTCCGAGATGCTTTCATACGACTATAGACTACGTAACGCTTCTAAAACGTTGGTGTCATCAATCGATTTACATTGTTATCATGTTGATATTACTCAAAGTTGACTTTCGAGGGCTAAGTTGAAAATACTGCTTTGCATAACGGTTTGGTTCAGCACACTGTAGTGAAAAACATATTTCACATTCAAGTCGGCGAAAAACGCATATGAGCTTTGAATAACGCGTGAAGCACGTGATATGGGGTCATTGGTTTCCGCGCTATTCACAACCGTTTGGTTCATCACGCTGTATTTCCAAAACTGTTATTACTCATTCCACAACCATAATTTTCCCACACTATACGAGCCCCCCGAAATTTCCCTACTTTCCATGTATGAACCCTTGAAAGTAACTATCAGGCACCTTATGGAGGGCTGGTCGATAACTAACAGGCATCGTATCGTCCGGTAGGGGAATACCTAGACACCAGCAGCCTTTCATGCGGACGACCCAGGTTCGATTCCCGCTACCAGCTTTGTTATTTTTCCCCGTGCCTTGCTCTTCCACTGTAACTGACCATCATCAACAACTCATACCACTTCACCAACAACCATAACACCACCATACCTTGCCGGTTTCCCTGCATCATCATGCTCACCGCTGGAGCACTCCCAACATGGACCGGCTGATTGTTAAGGAACCCCCGTAGATTAGAAGACCCCCCTCCAGCTTGGCTTGGTGACGAGGCGTTAGAATATATAGATTCGCTTCCCTTCAGCCTGCTACCACCCCCAGCACTTCCCCCCGAAGGAGAGTACCCTCCTCGTCCTTGTCGATAGGGCGTCGATGGTGCCGACTCAGTCAGGTCTGCTACCGGGCGACTCTACACGAGGAGAAAAAATCCCCATAATTCATCTCAGTGGTTTACACTAGAGTTATGCAAGAAGCTGGTCGTATCATCGATCAAGTTCATCAGGCACAGCTCTGCACTTCTCGGCAACCAATTCGAAGGTAACCCTGCTCCCGGTCTCCCATCGTCAACGAACAATGGATGTGTTAACGCCTGCACAAAAAATCACTTTCTAAATTTTCCCAAAAAATTTTTCACCTGTGCGGGAGTAATTCTCGTCGTTGGATCGAATTCCAGGCAAAGGTTCACCAGATGCAATATTCTTTCCCTTCTCAGCGTTTCTGTGAAAAATCAAAAAATTTTCCACTTTCCTAATTTTCACCTTCACTAAGCTGCTCTGGAGGTAGTCCCGCTTTAATCGGAGCTTGCATGATCATGTCACGTAGTGTGCTGTATCGCGAGTACTTCCTCGAGGGGTTTTCACTGCGCCACAAAATTATAATTCACCAAGATTTTCCCTTCCCACCGTTTTCCTGTAGTTTCCTCATATTCTCTTCTATTTTTCAGTTTAAACCCCAGCCCAGTTCGTACCAAAATCTGAGAAAAAAATTCCCCAGGGAAAAAATTCTGAATTTTCAACGAAAAAATCATAATTTTTCCACCAGAAAACCGATTCCCGACGAAAAATTTCAGAATTTCAAACGAAACTCATATTTTGCTCAAAATTTTTCTTCCAAAAACCGATTACCGATCAGAAAAAATTTACAAAAAATATAATTTTTCCCCAATAAAGTGAAAATCTGCATTCACCTGATTTTCCTCGCTAATTTCCGTCGAATTTTCCTGCCCAAATCTGAGCGAAAACACACCAACATCAGCCGCGTGGTCCACTGGAGCCTTAGCCATCCCAGCACTAGAGTTTCCATTGCCATCTCCTGAAAACGCAGATAGGACTCCGTATAGGAGAAAAATATTCCACCTAATATCCGTAGCCGTCGTGATAGGACAACATGTGAGGACGTGATCTCATCCGTGAGAGCTCTCTGAAAAAGAGACGAAAATATTGACAATCAATGTTGGAGTAGGAATATATGTAATCGCTTTCCTCAGCTGAGCTCAGGAGTTTCCTATACAGTGTTGGAGTAGGAATTTATGTTCGCTTTCCTCAGCTGAGCTCAGGAGTTTCCTATACAGTGTTGGAGTAGGAATATATGTTCGCTTTCCTCAGCTGAGCTCAGGAGTTTCCTATACAGTGTTGGAGTAGGAATATATGTTCGCTTTCCTCAGCTGAGCTCAGGAGTTTCCTATACAGTGTTGGAGTAGGAATATATGTTCGCTTTCCTCAGCTGAGCTCAGGAGTTTCCTATACAGTGTTGGAGTAGGAATATATGTTCGCTTTCCTCAGCTGAGCTCAGGAGTTTCCTATACAGTGTTGGAGTAGGAATATATGTTTGCTTTCCTCAGCTGAGCTCAGGAGTTTCCTATACAGTGTTGGAGTAGGAATATATGTTCGCTTTCCTCAGCTGAGCTCAGGAGTTTCCTATACAGTGTTGGAGTAGGAATATATGTTCGCTTTCCTCAGCTGAGCTCAGGAGTTTCCTATACAGTGTTGGAGTAGGAATATATGTTCGCTTTCCTCAGCTGAGCTCAGGAGTTTCCTATACAGTGTTGGAGTAGGAATATATGTTCGCTTTCCTCAGCTGAGCTCAGGAGTTTCCTATACAGTGTTGGAGTAGGAATATATGTTTGCTTTCCTCAGCTGAGCTCAGGAGTTTCCTATACAGTGTTGGAGTAGGAATATATGTTCGCTTTCCTCAGTTGAGCTCAGGAGTTTCCTATACAGTGTTGGAGTAGGAATATATGTTCGCTTTCCTCACCTGAGCTCAGGAGTTTTCGCACTAATCATACAATTTTACACATGAATACCACTTGAAGTGCTTAGAAACCAACAACTCCTTCCTCGAAATTTTTAGATTTTCACCAACACATGTAAATGACGATGAGCTCATTTTCCGACTATACTTATTCACGACTGAACATCGCGTTCTCCTACCTCCAAAGTTTCCTCAACTTCGACAGGAAAATAAAATTTCCCTGTATTCCTCCCTTTATCGAGTATACCGCAAGGGGCCGCTCTGAAAAAAAAACAAAAAAAATTCAGAAAAATTTTTTTCGGCAATCCCGACCCCATCAGAGACACTATTCGCG